ACTGGAGACATGGATAGGGTGTCCGAAGGTCCGGATGAGGCGTGGGAATATTGTTGGATGTAAGTCCGGAATACGGGATATGACAGCTACAGGAAATAGTTCGGCTGTTGGGCGACAGGATGACATTGAAGTTTGCGAAGGATTTTGCCACAATGATGTGAGTCTTAATTTTTTATTTATTGAACAGTTGACATATCTCATTAGTTCTGTATAATTTGCGGAGATGGTTCTGTGGATAACAACTTTCTCCTGTTGTGCAACAAATGTCCATGCGTCGTCTGCACCCACTGCATTATGATTCCCCTTGCTTTTGCACAGGCTGTCCATGCACCACATGTGACCTTTTGCTGTATCTGCTGTCACATTACAGGACAGCGCCAAGGAGCCAATACCTTGGCGCCATACTTTGTGAGTGTTCAAGTCTTTTGTGATTTATATATTGATACACTATTAAACAAAAGGGTTTCTATAGGAACAACAAGCCAGTACTGGATTCATTCCTCCCCATCTGTGCTGCCCTCGAGATCAACATGACATCACAACTCTCTTCTGACACTCTCCTCTTCATTTATCTCACCCTGGTGGACTATGATACCATCGGTACCTCATTTGAACTCACTGCCTTACTAGGATGTAGAGCCCAAAATAGGTGATGTTTTGGGTGTTGTGGGGTAATTTCCACAGTAGGTCAAAAATGCAGAGTGTAGGAATAATGTAGCTGAGTTTTGAAGTTCTAAAGGCTCAATGTGGTGCAGGCACCATTATGCATAAAGCTGTCAAGGTGGTGGGATCAGCAACAACCATGCATAACCAGGGATCTCTTATCAGCCAGGATGATGCATAAATATGATAGAATAGCCTATTCACCAACAGTGCATGAGATTGAAAAGTATTATCCTATTGTAATGTACATGATATAGGGACTTTAATGACACAATAATGTAGTATACAAAACAAAATAGAATAAAAACCAACTGGCGCAGTGGAGCACTGTGACAATGTGACAAAATAGTGTGCTCATCTGAGGGTCCATGTGATTCTGGGCTAGGGGAATATAGCTACAAGCAAAGTAAAGAGAGTGAATTAGTACTAGTAGACTTTAATGTAGATAATTAGTTTTATGATGAGTGATGAATAAAAACAAAACTTACAAATAGCATGTTATACTCACAGATGTTCCTGGAGGGACCCCTTCAAGGCCAATAAGTGGATGAATTTGCAAATTGAGGTCCACAAAGAATCTGATGAATGCAGTGAATATAGGATGTCCGAGAAGTATAACCATATATCGAGATACACCTGCAAGTACACCTGCAGATGCTGACTCATCTGACCATGGGTCTAAAAACTGTAGCTTATATGAGTCCTAAATCCTGGATACAACTTACCAAACCATATAGCCCAAAAGATAGAGAAAATGAAGGAAAGAAATTGGACAGGACCAACTGGTCTTCCTTGCTAGTCCCCAACCTCTGCCCATTGTCTTACTAGGATGTGATTGGCAATAAAATCACTGGTTCTCACTATCCTCTACAGTCAACGGTTCAGACAAATACCAACAGTTGATAATGTGGTCGTTCGTGGGAGGAGGTGTAAATAGCAGGGTCATTCTAAACAAACTTCTAGTGACTTTAGGTGTGTTGAGACAGTGACCATTAACTGGCTTGATGCAGTGCTTAGGACACTAAAGATAAAGGCTTGATGCAGTACTACAATGCTACTAGAAGATAATTGCAAAAGTATGCAATATGAAGATGAAGATATAGTTCACAATGGTACACAATGAATCAGAGTAATATCTCGTAAACACTCCCTATTCTCAAAAATTAGAGGAGATCAAACTAAGCCTCTAACAAAATCAAATTAACCGAAATACATGGCTTCAAAACTAACTTCTCTGCTGCTCAGGCACTCACAATGAGTATGATGCAGAATCAGAACAGAGTACACCCTCTTGATGTAGTCTTAAAGCAGCCAAGCTCTTAATATTATTGAATAAAGTGCTAGTCTTATTTGTTATCATTCTAATTGTTAAAAATATGTAAATTCTCCTCACAGAAAAGGTATCCTGTGTCTTTAAAGAGAATGTGACAAAACTACAACTAGATGACTGATAACCATGTACCAGCTAGTGTGATTCAAGGATTGGCTCAAGGTAGGCCTCAGAAGATCAGTATGTTGTGGGAAAAGATGACAAAAGAATGGAGGGAATAAACTTAATGTTCACTCAGATGTTTACACAGATGTAGGGTGAGAAATTCAGGAAGATACTCAAATTCTCCTCTCTTTCTCTTAAAGGGGGATTGTCTGTCCTCTCAGGAAGATTGTCATTATTCAGAGGGGAAATAGAGCCCCTTATATACTACTCTAAATGTGGCTGTGTAACTATCTAAATAAGGAAATATGGCTCATAATGACTCAAACTGAGTCATTGTAGAGATGTCTTATGATAACTTGTTCACTCCTCAAATATTCTCATCTATCAACTTTCTTCATTCAAATTCCTGACTAATCCATCTCATCTTACTAATCCATTTCATCTGACTAAGCCAATAATCACCTATGAACTGTTGATACATTGAAATGTTATATTGAATATGTTTCAGAACATACAAAAGAAATGTAAAGAATGTGTGAGAAAAATTGCTGAGTAATATATTATGGTATGTTTGGAACTTATCTTTGAATAGCATAAGTATTAATTGAATTATTATGTAGTGTTGTGGGTTTGTTATGTCTGAAAACTACTCAAATCAAATCATAACATGTTATAGAAAATTCTTAGTAACATTGTAGAGTACAGTAGAGGATATCAAAGCTCAAAAGGAGCCATAACCATGCACAAAACAAGGTTGGTGCGTGTCATCGCACATCAATTTTTGATGCCATACTTTCCCAATGCCGGCATGGAGTACCACAAGGTAACTTTGATATTGGTACTACTGTAATGAGACAACAATTGCTGGACACTACACAAAGTAAGTAACCAGCAATATAAAATGTTGTGGTCTTGTGCGGCCTAGTCTGCTATACTTGTAGACAAGTGCATTTGACCTGAGGGGTTAGCCATCTGGTATTAGCTCGAAAGTAGTGAAATGATAAGTGATCAAAAGTCCGAGTGTGGGAAACAAGGTCTGAAGGTGTAATCACGAGTCCGATGCCAAAGTGTCGGGTCCAATGTTTTCGTGTTAGCGGACGGGTTCAGCAGATTATGGAGAATAGCAATAGCGAGTGTCAGGAAAGTGAGCAGTATGGGAAATATAGATAATGATGGTGAAGGTTCAATGATACTGAGAGGAACAAATGAGGCTCCTGACTGTATCTATAAATGTTGTGAGGTCGCACGTTGCCTAGTCTGCTATACTTGAGATGACAAGTGCATTCGACCCTAAAGGGGAAGTGAGTGCAGCAAGGATCTAGAAGTAGGCGCTACTGGTTGGCTGATGCGAAGCGTGGGAAAGCGCAGGCGCGCGCAAGGCGCGAAGGCATGGGAACGTGCGCGCACGTATATTAGAGATATGAGATGATAGTGCTACTTTCTAGGGAGTGATTCCAACTAAGCTCAGTTGTGTAGTGTGAACATGGGGGTTTCTCCACCCTCTCTGGTATGTACTACTGGCGCTTATGTATGGCGCCTAAGCGCTGTCATGCGGAGCCGAAGCGCTACCGAGTAAGGTATGTAAAGATATATGTAAGTAAGGGTCCATGATAAAAATAAAGGTGGAATGATATGCAAATGAGAGAAATGGAAATACACGCACTAGAGAGCTTGGTGGACAGTGGATGGATGTGTCTGGATGGCTGGCACTATAGGGTGCTCAAGCGTGGGAAAGCGCACGCGCATATACATTGTGAAGCACGGGAAGTGTGCGCGCATGTTGCGCGGGAAAGCTGCGCCTCATATAGGAATAGCTGCGGATAGCATGCAGAGTGATGCTACAAGTTCGTGCCATGTACTCCCTAGTGAAAACTGCCATATCACCCAATGAGAGGCACGATGTAGAGACTCATGCCTCTCATGGTGTGATATGGCACTTTTCACTAGGGAGTTCATTGCACGAACTTGCAGCACCATTCTGTGTGCTATCTGCAGCTATCCCTATATGAGGCGCAGCTTTCCCGCGCAACGCACGCCATGCACGCACCATTCCCGCGCTTTACGATGTATACGCGCGCGCGCTTTCCCGCGCTTGATCACCCTATAGCGCCAGCCTTCTGGAAGCATCCATCCACTGTCCACCAAGCTCTCTAGTGCGTGTATTTCCATTTCTCTTATTTACATATCATTCCACCTTTATTTATATCATGGACCCTTACTTACATACATATATCTTTACATACCTTACTCGGTAGCGATTCGGCTCTGCATGACAGCGCTTAGGCGCCATATAAGCGCCAGCATTACCTACCAGGAGATAATTACTTTACCTCCCACTTACCCACTTACTACCTAGCAGAGTATAGTTGCAATCTATTCCTTGGCACCTCGCATTCACATCTCTTGTCTTGCATCATATCACCACTTAAGCAAACTCACACTTACTTTCACTTGTTTCCACTCACGTGTGCGCACCTGCGCGCTTTCTCACGCTTCGCATTTGCCGACCAGTAGCGCCTTCAGCGCCTACTACCAGATCCTTGCTGCACTCGCTTCCCCTTTAGGGTCGAATGCACTTGTCGTCTCAGGTAAAGCAGACTAGGCAATGCGCGACCTTACAACATTTACAGATACAGTCTGGAGCATCATTTGTTCCTCTCGGTATTGTTGTTTCTACAGCGGTTCACCTGGCACAAGAGATGTCAGGGAAAACAGGTGCTGGGGTCATCGTTTTATTGGATTGCCCTGACCCTCACCCACCGGCGCAGTTTACCTGGCATACGCGTCAAGGAAACAAAAGGTGTTTGAGGACCCCCAGGTTAGTAGTTTTCTTAGTTTAGCTTAGCTTTGGTTTGCATAGGTAGATGACTGGGGACAGTCATGATTCAAAGTTCCCATGAGATGTAGGGATTCATTTCTGGCTGGGCTTGTAGAGACTGTTTTTACCTTACCTTATGTTGGCACTTTTGTAGCTTACATAAGCAAGTTATCTTTTCACCAGTTACCAGTAGGAGTCAGAGTACTAAGCAGTTTTTCATGATATTTCCTCTCCTCTGAGCCTTGAGCCTGGTCCAGAAACCCTTTAGGGTCGAATAGCAGCTAGGTTCTGCAAGACCCAACATTGTTCAGACTCACCATCTGAATTGTTGTACCTTCAACAAGTCTCTACAACAGGTATTTCAGATAGAAAGAGCGGTAATATTTGCAATGTCAGCTAAGAACTATGAAATATCAGGTTTGACCACAAAGTGTCGGGGACCGGTGTAGCACTCAGGCTCGCGCTGAGCACGTATTCAGCTAATTCCCAATGCATGTCAAACACCCGAATCACTTCCCAATGTTATCCAACACTTACCCGCTCAATCCGACATTTATCCGCTAACCGGACGCTAACCCGACATAGTCCGACACTTATCCGACAGACCCAATGTTTCCCACGCATTGGACCTGATATTTTCCCGTGCACTTGTCCTCCCTATGTCCTGTCCTGTCATATCTATCCCCACTAGGTGTGCAGTTATCTATTTTCACATCGCTAACACTGTAGACCGTGTTATTACATGTCCACAGTACCACATGTCTTATTACATAGGACATCGGACTACCGCTACTACTTTCGCCTATAGCACTCAGAAATTCTACATAGACACTATATATTTCGCATACCTCCTACTTACTTATCTACCTTTCTACCTCTGAGTAGGAGGAGGTCATCTGATATTTGTAGTTCTTCGTTGAATTCTGCAATATCATCCTTTCATTACCCGAAAACACTCCGAAAACACTGACAGTAATCCGCCATTCACTATCCCCGACATTCATTACATTCCTGACACTAATCCGATGTAACCCGATGAAACCCACTAACCAAAAACCAAAAAACATCGGACCTGATGTTTTACCTTTGGACTCGTAATTATACCTTCAGACTTTGTTTCCCGCACTTCAGACTATCTTCCTTTTCATATAGCTAATTATTCTAATACCTTACAGTGAACCCCTCTGGTCGAATGCACTTGTCTCGCAAGTATAGCAGACTAGGCTGTGCAAGACCACAACATTTTTATATTGCTAGTTACTTACTTTGTGTAGTGTCCAGCAATTGTTGTCTCATTACACCACGCAAGACCACAACATTTTATATTGCTGGTTACTTACTTTGTGTAGTGTCCAGCAATTGTTGTCTCATTACAGTAGTACCAATATCAAAGTTACCTTGTGGTACTCCATGCCGGCATTGGGAAAGTATGGCATCAAAAATTGATGTGCGATGACACGCACCAACCTTGTTTTGTGCATGGTTATGGCTCCTTTTGAGCTTTGATATCCTCTACTGTACTCTACAATGTTACTAAGAATTTTCTATAACATGTTATGATTTGATTTGAGTAGTTTTCAGACATAACAAACCCACAACACTACATAATAATTCAATTAATACTTATGCTATTCAAAGATAAGTTCCAAACATACCATAATATATTACTCAGCAATTTTTCTCACACATTCTTTACATTTCTTTTGTATGTTCTGAAACATATTCAATATAACATTTCAATGTATCAACAGTTCATAGGTGATTATTGGCTTAGTCAGATGAAATGGATTAGTAAGATGAGATGGATTAGTCAGGAATTTGAATGAAGAAAGTTGATAGATGAGAATATTTGAGGAGTGAACAAGTTATCATAAGACATCTCTACAATGACTCAGTTTGAGTCATTATGAGCCATATTTCCTTATTTAGATAGTTACACAGCCACATTTAGAGTAGTATATAAGGGGCTCTATTTCCCCTCTGAATAATGACAATCTTCCTGAGAGGACAGACAATCCCCCTTTAAGAGAAAGAGAGGAGAATTTGAGTATCTTCCTGAATTTCTCACCCTACATCTGTGTAAACATCTGAGTGAACATTAAGTTTATTCCCTCCATTCTTTTGTCATCTTTTCCCACAACATACTGATCTTCTGAGGCCTACCTTGAGCCAATCCTTGAATCACACTAGCTGGTACATGGTTATCAGTCATCTAGTTGTAGTTTTGTCACATTCTCTTTAAAGACACAGGATACCTTTTCTGTGAGGAGAATTTACATATTTTTAACAATTAGAATGATAACAAATAAGACTAGCACTTTATTCAATAATATTAAGAGCTTGGCTGCTTTAAGACTACATCAAGAGGGTGTACTCTGTTCTGATTCTGCATCATACTCATTGTGAGTGCCTGAGCAGCAGAGAAGTTAGTTTTGAAGCCATGTATTTCGGTTAATTTGATTTTGTTAGAGGCTTAGTTTGATCTCCTCTAATTTTTGAGAATAGGGAGTGTTTACGAGATATTACTCTGATTCATTGTGTACCATTGTGAACTATATCTTCATCTTCATATTGCATACTTTTGCAATTATCTTCTAGTAGCATTGTAGTACTGCATCAAGCCTTTATCTTTAGTGTCCTAAGCACTGCATCAAGCCAGTTAATGGTCACTGTCTCAACACACCTAAAGTCACTAGAAGTTTGTTTAGAATGACCCTGCTATTTACACCTCCTCCCACGAACGACCACATTATCAACTGTTGGTATTTGTCTGAACCGTTGACTGTAGAGGATAGTGAGAACCAGTGATTTTATTGCCAATCACATCCTAGTAAGACAATGGGCAGAGGTTGGGGACTAGCAAGGAAGACCAGTTGGTCCTGTCCAATTTCTTTCCTTCATTTTCTCTATCTTTTGGGCTATATGGTTTGGTAAGTTGTATCCAGGATTTAGGACTCATATAAGCTACAGTTTTTAGACCCATGGTCAGATGAGTCAGCATCTGCAGGTGTACTTGCAGGTGTATCTCGATATATGGTTATACTTCTCGGACATCCTATATTCACTGCATTCATCAGATTCTTTGTGGACCTCAATTTGCAAATTCATCCACTTATTGGCCTTGAAGGGGTCCCTCCAGGAACATCTGTGAGTATAACATGCTATTTGTAAGTTTTGTTTTTATTCATCACTCATCATAAAACTAATTATCTACATTAAAGTCTACTAGTACTAATTCACTCTCTTTACTTTGCTTGTAGCTATATTCCCCTAGCCCAGAATCACATGGACCCTCAGATGAGCACACTATTTTGTCACATTGTCACAGTGCTCCACTGCGCCAGTTGGTTTTTATTCTATTTTGTTTTGTATACTACATTATTGTGTCATTAAAGTCCCTATATCATGTACATTACAATAGGATAATACTTTTCAATCTCATGCACTGTTGGTGAATAGGCTATTCTATCATATTTATGCATCATCCTGGCTGATAAGAGATCCCTGGTTATGCATGGTTGTTGCTGATCCCACCACCTTGACAGCTTTATGCATAATGGTGCCTGCACCACATTGAGCCTTTAGAACTTCAAAACTCAGCTACATTATTCCTACACTCTGCATTTTTGACCTACTGTGGAAATTACCCCACAACACCCAAAACATCACCTATTTTGGGCTCCTGATACATTGTTTCTACTGTTGAATGGATGCTGGGGATCATTTGTTGAAGTCTATCCACCTGGAAATAATAGAATGAGAACATATTTTCTCTTTTCCCATATATATGCTATATCTATTGATGTAGAAGGTTCCAGGAGGTAAAATAAAGATGGGAATCTCTTCATGTATACTCCTAAACATGTTCTGAATCACCTGGGACACTTCCCTACCATATGGGAAAAAATGTGAACCTATTCTGTATTCTATTATATGTTAAATGGTCTCTGGAGGAGGAGCAGGCACACAAATGAGCAAAAAATATGGTCTATTATATTATATTATACATATATTCCAAACTACTACTTATATATGAAGGAGGACCTATTGTGGTGTAGTGGTGAAGCTGCAGTGAGGTGGGGAGGGTGTGAAAATAATTAATATTGTGGAGATTCCCAAAATGGTTGATGTTTTGGGTGTTATGGGGTAATTCCCATGCTGTGGGGCTGAAAATGTGGTCACATATTTGATAATCCCAGTTGGGCAGTGATTTGTAAGCTGGCAAGTGCCCAAAGCTTCTATAAATGATTCTCCTCAAGGATACATCCTGTTGGACAATTGGATAGTTATAGAAAAGTATGTATCGGTATTTATGGGCTGTTGTGACTTGTCCATTCAAGATGTATTAATATAACGCTATGGGCTGCAAGATCATCCGCCAGGCGGGCAGCAGCCTTGCTGGCAAGAATAAGATGAACTTGTCTTCTGTGGTGATCTGCAGGTTGCAAAGCCCCTCTGACTTGAGTTCATACATGTGATATGTATTCCAGTCATGTTCTGGCCTCCACCTTGCTTCTGTGACCAGGATTACAATGCAAGGCAGATGCAACCTGCGGTACGCAAAATGGTGAATGCTCTGAGTCTGGTAGTCAAGTGTCTGATATAATTTCAAAGCCGACTGTGGAGGTACAATACTCCGCAGTGAGGAGATCAATGATTGAATATCATCTTCAGATAGAGATGGCAGTTTGCATGGTGGGGCTCCATATAAAGTGATGTTGGCTGGTAGATAGCTATTGAACTCTGATGACTTTCCGACCCAGTCCAGGGCAGTAATGTCACCTAACAATGGCACAATCTCCTGCAGGAGCTGGCTGAGTGCGCTCTGCTTCTTCTTGCCATAATCAACACATAGGCAGACACCAAAAATGCTCGACAGTGAATATGCAATCTAAGAAGTAAAGTAGAATGGTTTTGGGAATGATCAGGTGCTCACGTAGCTTTTGCCTATTTCGCTAAAGGCCATGTGGTTTGCGCTTAGCTTGCTTAACCTTGATTTGGAAACTCGTGTGGTTTTGTCACATGTTTTCAAGTGCCAACTCAAATAGTGTCGCCCTTTGGGAACTTAGCACAACCTTGGTAACTGTATATGTACATGACATTAAATAATGAAAAAAAGATGTGTTTGAGCAGGGCAAGGCAGATATGTGATTAGATTTAAGTTTTTTTCCTACTGTAATTGTTATGATAGTATTTGTATACATACAGCAAATAATGGAACAACATATAATACAATTACAGACAGGGAAAACAAATATGAAATAAATGAGATTGGGAGATGAATGACAGAAGGTTATGAAAAAATAACAAATAACAAAAGGGAGAAAAAGACCACTTAGAGACTCAAAAACTGGAGAATGGGAGGACAGAAAAATGGGAATGGGAATGGGAAAATGGGAGACGGGAGACGGTGTAGAGACTAATATCTCTGTGGCCTTGTAGAGGTCTAAATTCCCAACGTTCTAATCACCTACCGGATACAGCGCGACACATATATTGCTAGTGTGCTCTCAGCGCTCCATCAGCCGCTTGCGCACATGGGCGCTTTGGTTGCGCATTGGCGCGTGCATCTTCAGTTCCATTCCCCATCCTCCGTCCATCCATTCCATGTCCGATCGGTTCGTCGGTGCGTATTCCTATCTGTTTTCTCATGTTCTGACATATCTCCGGCGCTTGTGCATATATTCTGTATGTTATAGACCCTCATTACATGTTATCACGTATTCGCTTCGCTTCTCAGTTCGCTTTAGCGATTGACAGCACTTAAACACTTCATAGTTAGAATATATATATCCGCATCTCGTTGTAGAAATGACATCTTTCTTCCCGCACATCATTGGACTTTAAGTCTAAATTCTCTGTTATAGCCGCCCAAAACATATCAGAATATCTAAAGGAATACTCGAGTGCTTGTCATCACGCCCTTCTAGAACCTCTGTTACTTGTCCTCCGGCTCGTTAAAAGAGTCGCTCCGCTCCACCCATACGCACGCCATCACACCTCG